TAGGAAACGTGATATGATACTGGAATGGAATCAAGTGTTACGCTTTCGAAACGCTACGCGCCAACTGGAATATCACCTGAAAGGTGAGTGTAAATATGACTGTAATCACTCCGCAAGATTTACCTCTGCGCTGTTGATATGTAAAGAGGACCTTTTATTTAACACCCACGCTCTTCGCGAAGAATACCTGTATGATTAGTGAGCTCATGTACACAGCGTTGTGAGGGCTGCCCCATCTGCTATAGAATTACAATTGTTCATGAACCATCGAAACGTCGTCTATAGCTGAAGCAAGTAGAGCTGTTCATAAATAGTTTTGCTTTCAATGCCGAAATATTTGGCATTGTTCTTCGGAGATTTCTGCACTTTTTGTCACTTAAAATCCACACAATGTATTCTTTTACAGAGTAAACAACAAATTTAGGAAGGTCAGCTGTTAACATTGCATGTCCAGCTTGGCTTGACACCACTAACACAGGCAGTCGGTGACCACGGCAGTGATTTCATTCGTTTGTAACAATGCTAGGCATGGTTCAGTTTTATATCTTTAAAATGAAGTGCAAGCTTCGTTGATAAATAAGTGGGTCCACACGCGTATGGCAGTGAAAGCTTGAAGCGTTAAACTAGATCATGGGCTTTTTGAACTTCATAACATGTTTTGAACTGTTCCATTGCATCATGATGGGTTCTGTGAAAAAGCAGTTTTCGTCTAATTTTCACACAATTGCACGTAACCACAATTGCGCGAACAGTTCTGTTTGAAATAATGAATGCTTCTGCAATCATTTTTTTGGAGAAACGATGAATGAAAGCGTCGCGCCTTACGAGAAAAGTCAATATCTTGCAGCTACGAGCACGCTCTCAAGCTGTCGATGGGGAAGTTCCACTTTGTGAAGTCGGCTGGACAGCATACATTCCAATCAAGCATTGTTTCTTTTGTTGTCTCTCCTAGAGTGTACACATTCTGCACCATCTTGGCTTGGAATAAATTTGGCTGTTTCTTTACAAGTTCTCATTTATTTTTTATCATTAAACAGACATTTTCGCTGAACGACAATACCAACCGCGCTCTGTATCTATGAAGCGAGCAACCTTGGCACAGCAACGGCTACATATACGGGAACATTTGTATATACGTATACGCTCATCCAGCACTTAAATGCGCCTAAACTACGCCCGCAGAAATACCTATTCAACGCATTTGACATTTGCACGAAGGAGATCACCAAATATTTGCTTGCCAAACACTCAAAGCTTAATACCAATAAGTAATCGTTTATAATAAAGCTTGAGCAACATGCCAGAACTTGCAGCGTCCAGACGGTGCCTACATGTGCCCCGGTAATTTTAACTCTTACGAACTGGAGTGTGGAATAGTGGTTAGCATACGCGACTGCTGATCCAATGATTATGAGTTCGAATTCTGTGTATTTGCCGGGAATTTTTTGTAGTTTATTACTCAATTTACTTGTCTATTGCTTGTATATGCCGTCAAGTGCCTTAAGAAACCTCCCAGTTTTCGGTAATTCAGCCACAAATTGTAATAAATAGATTTTTTTTTCGAGAAGGAGCAATTGAAGGGACTAACACTTCTACCCTATGCCGTCAGTTTCTCCCATACAGGGGTAACTTATACTCCTTGACATCTCGTTCCTCAAAACTACTGAGGACTAAACGCTTCGTCCTCTGACAGTTACTTCCGAAACAACGAATCGTTCATTCTTTGGAGACTAATGGTGTTGGCGATGCCGTTGCCCCCCTCCCAAAAAGAAAGGATGAACTACAGAGCCTTTTTCATCCCTTGCGGCTTAGACTGTAGGGTAAATCAACGATGTGTTTGAAGTGCTAGGTCTTCGCAAACCGCTTGAAAAGAAAAAAGCTTAGTGCTCTCGTCCCCGCAATTAGCAACATTCACGCGGCCATATTCATTGAGCCAGTCCTCCTCGTCTTCCTTGCCTTGCGAAGGTCCGTGAAGGGAAGAGATCACGCAGGTGGCCGTGTACAAAAACAGAAGGTGTGGTTTGCGACGGCTCGGTAGAAATGCCAACAGTGTCGGTAGGCTCATTGTGCATCATGCTGCCGGACAGTGGGTGCAAGCGGCGGCCTGAATGAAGCTCCAGTAATTTGGAGTGGGTGCTAGATGACTGAGGACCTAAAATCTACCTCCACCACCTAGAAGTGTTGTTTTAGACGGCGTTTATTGAGCCTGATGACTCGGCCACGAACAGTCAACCTGACGTGGAGCACGCACACACACGATGATGATGGTGATGACAGCCGGTGAAGATGAGGAAAGAAAACCAAACGGATGATGATATTTATGATAATATACAAATGAGAAGCACTTAACAAATGCCCAATATATATATATTATCAGAATGGAAAATAGGACCACCTTTTCCGGCCCAACCCCCCTCCCTCTACAAGTGCGCACGTCTATATGACACTATTAACAATTCACGTGTCTCATCAGGCGCAACAGACTTTGCGGCCTTTGGCACATTGAGACAAAAGAGTGGCTACTTGGGCTGGTTGGTATAGTATTTTGAAAGAAATTTACTTTTCTTAGCCTACTACGAAAAGTAAACTTCTTTTAAAACACATTCAGACGCATGGCGCGTTTTCGCAGTGGTCACGTGTTGTTCTTGGTCTGCATACACCATCGCGGCGCTAGGCCTATACACAGCGAGTAGTGGCACTGCTAGCTCTTTTAGTCTTTAACAGTTTGACTCCGCTGGTGCACTACCCCCCGAAGTAGTGATCACACCTTTTCCCCGCAATTACCGCTAAGTTGATGCCAAGCTAAAGCTTGCATCTTTAAGACCGCAATATTTGTTCCTTTTTTTTTAGTACGCGAAACTGTGGCTTCACAATTGCAGTCCTTCTCATTTATTTTCTTCAGTTCAATTTTCACATTTGTGCGAGTAGGCCCAGGATGTTGCTGCCGAACCCTAAAATCACGGCGGTACAGTGCTCACATATTTAAATGCGGCATTGTTCTTTAAATGTATGAAGACTGCTATGAGTCATTCCTCGCAATGAATGTGCCATGCACGGGAAATCTTGTGACTAAAGACGACATTGGCTCTGATGTAACTGCGCGAGTTAAAGTACACAAATATATCACTAAAGTAGACGCCAGTAGACGTCAATTTCTTAGCCCTACATTTTCGCGCTCCAATTCATAAATATGCCGTCTGCGTCACTCGTATTGAAAAACGAAGGAATTCTACGGAAATTCTTAAACAGCGTATGCGAAACTGATCATAATAATACTAACACTAAAATGAGATGTAAAAAACGTCTATTATCGAGAAAAAAATCAAATAAGGTTTAGAAGCAGGTGGGTGACGCCCCTTGCGCAGGGCTCCACTGGCCTCAGCAGCCCGCCCCGCCTGGTCCAGGAGCGCCATTTGGGTCACCTTTTTTCACTGGCGTGCAAGGTCTCTCCCTGGCCCATCGTGAATTTTTTCGCCGGAATCTGAGGCATAATAATTTTCACTGGCCTTACCTCATATTCTCATGTAATGTGGGCTAGCGTTTGCTGTTCTTCGCACCACGGGCAAGAACTGGTGTATGCGGTTATGTGCATCAAATGTTTGGAATGCAGGTGCATTTATCTATTTGTCTGCTGGTGGCGCCAATGATGCGCTTTCTTTATACTCAGCTGAGAATTCGGCGGGGAGTATCACCATCAATGTTGAAGCTGGCATTCACAGATATCTCGAAAGTGTATGGAGCCTGGAGTAGCAAAAGGGTATCTGTACGAAATATAGTCCCTCTGTGAGTAATAGCTCGAGCTGCACTGTCTGTTCTATGGTTACCCACTTCCGCAATATGCCCGGGGCACCATATGAGGCGGATGACGTACGCAGGTACTCGGCCATTAGTGAAATAACGACTTGCTATTTGGGAGTTTGTTAGGTTTTAGCATTGTAATAATAATAATAATATTATTATTAATAATAATAATTGGAACAAGAAGTAGAAGGCAGAGTTTCATATAATAACACCTAGAGAAGAATCTGGCGCTGCCATCGTGTAACCCCGTGAGAATCATGGGAGGTACAGGCTTCGGATTCGATTGCGTTAACTAGCAAACTGTCTGCGAATTTCTTCCTACAGTTACAGTTTCGTTCATCACACAGCTTGGCTAGTGGCGTGTGGTTTAAAGAACTGAAGCAGCGCCTTTGTTGTTCAAAAAGACTGAGGACCACCGGGTCTGGTATTTGCTGCGCTTTTGGAGCTTTACAAGTCGTATTTCACAGTTTAGGCGAAGCGTCATCTACTCAACACAGCACATAACTCTAGCGTCTCATGTCAGTGCAGAATATTACAATTAGTTAACGTTTTTTTTTGTTAGTGCGTCTTGCAAAACTGGTTTAAATTGACTGCTAAACGATAGTAAAACAAAGTACGCACTGTGATGCTCCTCGGACTCGACTTCACCACAAAACTGGAGGTGTGTTGGGGGCAAACCACTTGAACAGACGCACCTGGCATCGTAGCAGACGAAACGTTACGTGTTTCTCACTTTACACTGTACTTTTATTTTCATAAATAGATAATGGGCAATTTCGAAGATAGAACAAGCATGTTTGTTTTGATGTATTGTAAAAAATGATTCATTATATCTTGATACTAAATCTGGAACGCAATGGCGGAGCAATGCATACCCAGGTGTTTCGATTTGTCCAGGTTTCACTTTTACCTCATGGTCAAGGAAACTTTTTGCAACAAGACTTACATACAAGAAAGTCAATCAGTTTTCAACTATATATAGCTTCATATCACTTTCTTTACGTTCGGTAAACAAGCGTCGCAAATCTCAAGCACATAATCCATCCGAAGCAGGTCCAAAGCCTGTATTTTTCATTATTTTCAAGGGGTACAAGCGCCGCTGAAGGAGCCCACGTAGACACTAGCGCCAGATTTCCCCTAATTATCATTGATGAAACTCTATGAAAAAAGAAAAAAAGAAGAAAAGAAAGAATGCTCACTTTTTCTTGGTCCCCTCTCCAATTGCGAACCTGAAGAAGCAGGTCCCACCAGTGTTTGTGAATTTCGGCATAGAATTTGTTGTAAAATTCCTTGGAGTTTGGTCCTGATGCAATGAGTGGCAACAAGTACATACACATGATCATGAAGAACAATGGAACTGTCAGCCTGCAAGGGAAGAGAAGTGTGCTTGCTACAAATGTTTCGTTTGGAAACTTTTATAAGCGCGGGAAGTAGGGTCTTCATATTTACACTAAAACCAAACCTACTACGTCTCTTTCAAAAACAAATACAAGAAATTTTTACATTCCATATTGTACCATTTGTGCAAGCTTTTGTGTTTTTGCTTTGTTTACCTGACCGTGAGTGTGATATGCGTAATTGTTCTGTTGTCGCACGGGACTATGCATAGCGTCGACTACCCAGCACCCTCTAACTTATGCTTGCTGCCTATCAGGCCATCCCCAACTTCAACAGTACCTATGGGCATAGAGATTCTCGAAATGAACTAGAGGGCACTCTGGCGCTGCGATCGTTCAGCGATCATGGGAATGATGGGTAGTACACATTTGCCTAGTCTTCGTACTTGCGGGCGGCGAATCGTACTTGCGGCTTCGTTTAATGCTGTGTTTCGATTTTGTTTTGAAAGAAAGATTCAACCCTTTTGAACTTCGTGACCAAATTTGTAAAGTTAATTCGAAAAAATAGGGCGCTGAAGCGCAATTGCTAAACATTTGCTAATTTTTGTTTCGTGAGAAAACAGCTTTAAGCCATACGAACACACACGTAGCCAAAAGCAGGCCAGAAGTACGAAGTTTAGACAAATGTGTGTACTACCCATCATTTCCATGCTCACTGAAGCGCCGTGCGTTGCAGCTGCCATAGACACTAGCGCCAGAGTTCCCTCTAGTGTATATTGGGAAACTCTATGCCTATAGAATCTTCACCAGCAGTTCTTTTTCCGCAGCTTCAGCTGGGCTTACTACTGTGTCCCTCTTTGTCTGGTGGTTACATACTTAATGGTATTGAGTTTTCATAATCAGGATGATAGGGCAACCTATATTTTCGAATTATCATCCCCCAACGCGCCTCTAAGGGAGCTTCGATGCCTCCGAGTTCTTCCTGACATCTTAGCCATATAGTTGCTTAGGTGAAACACGCGGTCATTTTCATCGCATAAAATTTTCACAGTAAAGATATTGGTATTCCAATAAAAACTTAGGTAGCACGAGCCATAATAGTCTATTTATTTACCTATATTTATTGTTCTCCTGAAAAGTATCCTATTTTCCTTATTACATCTGTCTGACCCTTCTACCCCCCCCCCCCCCCCAGGGAAAGGAAATAGAGAGTAACGTGGTTCTCTCTACTTTTACGCGTACCGGACACATTTGGTAATTGAGTTTGTATCAGAAATTGTTTCTTTGTGCAGTTTCTAACAGTCTGCTATGTTTACAAAGAAATAAAAAGAAATATTTTTTTCACAAAAACTTTAAAAATGGTGAAGCTTGCACAAAGCCGGGAAGTGTTCGAAGCAGCTAAATTGGACCATTTTGTAAATCAATCTGGTTGCTTCTAGGTTGTTTGAAGGCATTAGGTAGATGATGCACGTTTTTCTAGGATACCTCCATGTCGTTGCTAAGTATTGGGTATGCAACACGGTGGCGTTCTTACGTTTATTTTCAGTTCATAGAGGCTGGAGATAAAGCTAAGACAGTCACACACACGACACGGATGTGCAGAGTCCAGATAGAGTACCTCACGCTGAAGCGAAGCGTTCGAACATCTCATTGATTTACGGGCACGTCATCGTTGGCGTGAACCTTTCATCGATTCAGGGTCGTCCAGCAGCCGCCGTTGGCTCTCCCGTTTTTTAGTATTCTCTAGTTGTACGTGCTAGGGGGTCTTCGGCTCACCGCTGTCGATTTGTTGCAGAGCAACTGTTGCCTTCTTCTTTTTTAGAGGACCAGTGGTGTGCAGCTATACTTCTTCGTGATGATGAGAGTTTTTTAGATCATTGGATAAGCAACAGTTTTATAAACAGCTTCACTGTTAATAAAAAGCAGCTAGGCTTTCTTTTCTCCTTTCTCACCTCATCGTCTTAGTTAATAATACTTCCCCCGTCCCATACCCTCAGTACTGAGCGCAACGAAAACCATGTGCAGCACTTATTTTTATCTGAACATTCTGGTCCAACTCTGCGGTTAAAACGTTTATCCTCGTGTCGAGAAACAATGAACAAAATGTAACAAACGTGTCAGCTTACGTAGCACCCTTGATGGTGATAGGAAGGGGACGCTTTGAATCAATCAGCGCAATGCTTCCTAGTGCTACTCACCTAATGAATCGTCTGATGACTGCCACCACACCTACAATGATGCGATTGCGAGTTTGCTTCATGAGCGTGTAGTACAACAAAAAACCACTGCAAGACAAAAAGTATTCAGTAATCTTTTAAGACTGTAACCTATCAGTTACAAAATATAAATTTTGACTCAATAGTCTCTTAATTTTTAAGACAAAAATACATGAATACGTATAGCATTCAATGTTCAGAATTGGAAGCACTGCGATTACTTAGTACACAGCGTAGGATTCCACTTATTTTTCATTCATTTAATTTCACTTCATTACTACTTCACAGAGCCGAGGGCATGGAAAGAAAAGGCTTGACAGAGCTGGAATAGGCTTCCCAGCTGGTTAAGGCCCAGCGTCACGTTGTCGTAGTACACACATTTTAAGGAATAAAAAGAAATAAAGATCATTCATTACATACGGAGAGTCATCAGCATTTGAAACAAAACGAGCACTCGGAATGCTTCATGAAAGGCCACTCCACATTTGAAAGATCAGATGTAGCACTAATTTAAAAAAAACTAGAAGCTCAGACGTACAACATATATCAATGTCAGCATCACTCCGTGGTAAAACATTTAAAACACAGGGTAAAGTTATTTTTTACATTTGGGCAGCTTTATTTGTGCAACAGGACTTCACCTTAAATTTTTCCATCAGCCTCAAAGGGTATATAGGAACATATTTGTCCAGGTCTTCCATTTCGTTAGGCATTGATATACTTTGTTTTATTTCATGTTCATATCGGATAGCTAGGCCTAATTTATACAGACTCAATACTTTTGGAATAGCAATGGTCTGGAAGAGCTGCGCAACAGGGTAAGCTCTTGGTAAATCGTAAATGAGGTGTAAACTTTTTTTTGTAGAATATAAACTTTTCCTGAATTTGTAAACGAGGTAGGGTTCCATACAAGCTGGCAATAATTAATCTGTGACATAAACATAGATTAGAAAATCAACAGTTTGATTTTGGTAGGAATGACATGATTATTATGGTATGAAGGACCAATAAAGCGTGGGGCAGATAAGCATAGGTGATTAACGTTAGCGTCCCACATAAACTTTTTATTAAACCTAACATCGAGGGTTTTGAAAGCTGGCACAATGTTTATGTTTTTAGATCCATAGTTTAAAAATTGAGAGCTTGGCACGGCTTTACTTTTTGGACAAAAAATCATCGCTTTTGTTTTAGTCGCATTAAATTACGAAGCAGTTAAGTTTGACCATCAGTCGAGAATGCGAAGCATTTCGTTAGCATTTTCCGGTAACTTGTTTGAATCTTCGCCGTTAAAGAAATTGCTCGTGTCATCGGCTTACATGAGAAAATATGCCTAGGAGTGAATGTGTACAATATAATTAATACACAGTATAAACAAAAATGGCCCTAGGATACTTCCTTGTGGCACAACTGACGTAAAGCACAGTGCTTGGGAGGTGTACTCATCAACACTAACATACTGGAGTCTGTGAGACATATAATATTTGATCTGTTGAAGAGCATGCCTTCTAATTCCATAGTATTGAAGCTTGGCGAGAATTCTTTTATGACTAAGGCTGTCGAAAGCTTTGTTAAAGTAAACAATAAGGGTGAATATTTGCTGTTTTTCGACAAAAGTTTGAAAAATAAGTTCTTTTTGGTGAGTAGTGCCGTTTCAGTAGACCGGTTTTTTCTGAAACCATGCTGGGATGGCATTATAAAATTATGTCGTTCAATAAAACGGGAAAGACGAGTTAAAGTGACTATTTCTAATCACTTCAAAAACAGGAAGGAGAGATATCGGTCTATAATTGAGAACGCTGTTCTTATTTCTTTTTTCAAAACAGGAAAGACCTTAGCAATTTGCGTTTGAACTGGAAATGTAGCTGTTTTAAGGCAAATGTTAAAAAAAATGGTAGGATCCTTAAGCTTCGCCTTTAGGAGTGGAACGCGACAACGAAATCCGGCCCCCAGTGCACTCTTTAACCGCTAGGTGCACACCTATTCATATGTTTTGTTACATATACACGCACGCACACAAACACGCACACAGTAGATCGGACCAGCGCACGCTATTATCGTAGAATGAGCTTGTTTTCATCATGGCACCTGCCGAACAAAATGCGTTAAAGAGGCCCTGAAACAATTTTTCAAAACCCATGAAATGGAATCACTGGAAGAGCTTATGGCCTCACGAATTGAATGCCGCAAAAATTTTAAAAATACGTTCAGTGTGAGTGAAGTTACAAAGGTTTGTCGCATGCTGCAATTGCATTATCTTTTCTCTCGTCCCGACAAAAGCGCGGGAAGCTAAGCAGGAAGCAGTGTCAGGGCAAAGAAACTACCACGTCTCGTGACCTTGAGCAATTTTTTTCTTCGAATGTGCGTCTTTTTCTCTGTGATCACGTACGCACGCGTGGACAAGTAGCGGCCTCCCGTGGCTTTCTTGGTAGCTTGATTTTTTAGTCACAGACGCACAGACAATTTTTCGCTCACAATCAACGGGGCTGACGCCGGAAATGGTTTTACTGCGACATGAGCTCTTTAACGCTATCGAGTTAATATGGAGCACCAAATGTGCAATGAAGTCCATAACATGTTTAACCGGCCGAATTTATAGGTCAAGGAACTGCTGTTTTTGAGAATACAAAACGTTGTGATGACTTTCAGGCTGTCGACAGGAGAAAGATAAGCACTGCTTTGGTGATTCGATTAAACAAAGTGTAGTGC